CAATAAACTGAGATGTTTAACCTGTTTTCTTTGCTCTGTAATCACTGTATGAAAACTAAATTTTAGGATGCTCATTGGCAGCCACATGTTGTCTCTTTCATGGGAATTTTCCTATCCAACTAAATGCACACTTGCTGTGTCTCCTGTCTTGTTCTCTTTGTGCGATTTCAAGGCTTTCACTGGCTTGTCTGTTTCTCTTCAGGAGATTCCTCCTCTGGGAGACTTTATCGTCTTATTTCACCTGGCAGCCTGCAATGTCAATTCCTCTCATCGATTTTCTCTGTCTTTTTGTTTCTGCTGATTGACGGGCCTTACTGGAGAGAGATGTGAGGGCTCATTAAGCTGACAGGTCACTCCAGATCTCACTCACAGTGATAGTTAAATGGCTATTGGGCAACACATCAGTAAGCCTTTCACAGGCGGTGGATAAGCCAGGGGATGGAAGAGAGTTGGTGAACCTGTTCCAGAACAGAAACAAATCTGTAGTTTCACCAACATCAGTGCAGCGAAAGAAAAAAACCACAATCAATACTGCAGTGTAGCTGTGATGCTTTTTGAGGATTAAAACGTTTCTGTTACCTTGTATCAGCTTGTCTACTGCAATAAAGCAATCTCAGGAGGTCCCAAAAGTAATTTAGTTTGCATACATTGAAAGTCCACTTCTGTAGACAAATGTTAAAAACACATCCTTGAGTCCATGAGTTTTAGAAAAATGACTTTCTACAGCTGTATATATCATTCAGAGTTAATAATTTTTTGAAAGATATGAATGAATTATGTATTCATTAATTATTTAACCAAAAACAAATTCTTCATAGTATATTAATAATAGTTCAAATTTATTCATAAGTATTTTTCAAGAAACCCAAAGCACTTACTTATGGTAAAACACAAACAAAATAACTGACAGAACACCATTTCAGTCTGAGGTGCACTTCATCACAAAGTGTGTTGTTAACTGTACTTAACATTGGTGTTCAAAACCTAACTTAACAGAGCTGAAAATTGACACAGCCTTTTATTACCTTGACACAGACATTAAGGTTTTCATACATAGTCTAATAACCGACTCAGGAGGTGTGTTTTAACACAGCTTGTAGTCAAGTTTCTTTTCTATTGAAAAGTGAGTGCACCCCACGAAGTCTTCAGTTTTATTGACACAGCAATGACACCTTGTTTTTGTGCAGCACATTTTTACTGCAATAGGGGTACTCTATCTCCTACTGCAGTGCAGCGGGCTCTGGGGTGGCAGTAGATCACTACGTAGCAGTTTAGGTGGAAAGTGAAAATTACTGAGCTGTTGAAACTAGATGGATGAGATACGGCTGGCCAGACAGTCTAGAGTGGAGCCTAGGCACTGCTCTATAGCTGGCATCTCTTCTCTAGTGAATAAAGTCATGCAATTCCTACTTACCACAACTGGTCAATACACATTCTAAAAATAATGATATTCTAAAAAATTATCAAAATAATAAAAAAATAACAAATACACAATAATAATACTTTTTAAAGGCATAAATACCACATTCAAAGCAGACTGGTTGTGGGTTCAGGTCACAGTTGTAGACTCTGCTGTTGTACCCTTGAGAGACATACTGGACCTTCCCCTGTAGCGAGCTGTATACTGTATGTGGGGACCAGCTGGCCTGAGGGTGATCCCTGTGATGGCACACCTCAGGTGAATCATGTCCTCTCTAGTCTGCTCAACACTACAGAAACCAGCATAAGCTCCTATGGCTCTGATCTGGACTTTACTTTTTTACATACTGTTGGTGCTTATAATCCTATATGGTCTATTTTAGCAAAAGTAACATGGGGAGCTGTGGATAGGGTGAGCATACATCCTGCTTTTAAGGGGGCTAGTCTATATTTAACTTGTACTGCACACGCAAGTAAGGGGCTGCTTGCTCTGTCTTCGAACACATTATGTGCTGTATCTGACCATGTAGGCTTCCTCACATCCCCTTCTTATCCAACAGCATCTCCTAATGGAGATGGTGGTTCAGTCAGGTCACTCCCCCAGGAGTCAAAGGTTGGAGTCCTGCAGTAAGACAAATGGTGAATCTGTAAAAGCAAACACAAATTTGGCACACGTGCTGATGGGGCTGTGGATCCCATTAGGGAAGACAGGTGTGTTTTTTTATATCATACAAGTGGATGATGATGTTAGTGCCAAGTGGTAATATGATCTCCATCTGCCTTGTCCCCCATTTGTTAGCAATTAGTTACTTAATTTGTAAAAATTTGTTGAGTGAATCAGTTTCAGTTCCATGATACAGTACATTGTTTTTACTGTAAAGTTGTTTGAATGGGATAACTTACTTTATAGCCCCCCTTTATATTCATAGGGTAAAGTCACAGGTTTGCACAAGGCATGCAAACACACCAGGGTCTGGGCTTTTATCTCCACCTGATTCAGCCTATTTTAGTTTCCTCATGGTAAACAACCACAGTTGAGATGAGACTTAACAGGATTCGAGACAGGATTTATATGGGTATTTACAGTATACTGTATGTACAGGTATAAATGTGATTTTGTCTGCATAATGCATTGTTGAATTAAACTGGGCATCACTGATTTCAACATGTTTTAATATGGTCCAGAACCTTTATTGAGGTTAACACCAAACAAACTGAACTGGGCCTTCATGAGTAACGTTCTCTGAGTTCCAGGTTTGCCACATTAATTACATCAAGGTACTCAATGTATGTTCCAAACAGTTGCCAGAGTGAAGCGATGGTGATGGGGACTTCCCTTAAATAAATTGTTAAACTTTAGTCACTTTCCTTCACTCGAGAGGAGTAGCTCCCAGCAGGTGAGGAGTGACAGTAACCTCACCTGATATTGTCCCGGGTGAAAGAGAAAGGCTGAGGGCCGAGGGCCAGTGAAAAGGCTGGCCAAACCTGTAGCAGGAGTAGCCAGTTTGCTCTTCCAGATCCCCATCTTGGGCAGCAGGGGGGCTGGTGGGAAAGGTCTGGGCACAGAGACGTCCTGCTCACTCCTGTTCAGGGCAGAGCTGAACAGTATAACTCATGTAAACAATGTTACAGGGTGCAATTTGTGTCCACTGTCAGTTTAAAGATCAAATACAAAGCTGGCAATCTGCGCTATTTGTAGTCTCTTATATTGAATTATGCTACCATACACAGAGTATGCCTTTTTTCATTTTGTGCCTAGGTGCATAAACCTTCATGCCTTGCAGAGAAGTTGAATATTAATACCACTCACAACAAAAACTTTTATTTATATAAAATTTATTTTAATAGAGCTCTTTTTTGGCCCCAGTCTCTACCCTGCTGCAATTCCAGAGAGATGAATTCTTCTTGTTTTATTACATTATATCCCTGGGGGCTCCCCTGTAAAGCAATTTTTTAAAGCGGTGTGCATTTTTTTACTAGACAAATCAAATCCTGCCGTGTTGAAGAAAAACTAAAACCCAGATGAGCCTTTTCTTCTCAGCTTAGCCTGCTTTCTTTTGGAAACATCCATATCAGGTGATTAACCATTAGGGGTTGAGAGGGGTGGAGATTGAATACAGGATGAAGAAATCGCTCTGGTTCTCCTAGATCTGCAGTATTTAAAATGAGGCAGGATAGTTTCAGGTAAAAATGAATTGACAGTTTGATATTTATCTCAGCTCCTTTCTTAATGCGTAGAATACCCATTTGTTTGTCCCACTAGTCTCACCAGTCACGAGGACAGCCAGGTCGGTTTCATATCCAGCTACTACTGGGATCCTGTCTACCTGTGACCCATCCCTTTCAAGAATTATGTCTACTGTTACAGTAGCTTCTGAAACAGGACGTATACTTAAAATATATTGGCTAATAAGACAATTATATTATAGCACCGTATGTTATATGGTACTGTATATTTACTATAATAATACGGGAACAGGATATATTCAAACCAACCGACAACAGGGCATAAATCTCATTATTTTTAATTGTGCCAATTACTTTGAGTGTTTATGGTGTGAATTTTGAAAACAAAGCTGTTTCTTACCAATACAGCAGGATTCCAGCTGCAACTTAATTGTAATTTTCTTGCCTCCCTCTTGACCCTTTGAGGCCTACAAATCTCACAGCTCCATTCTGGCTCTCTGCAAAGCCAGGGGATAACAGCTGCACCTGTTTGTGTCGGTATTTCTTGTTTGCACTTCAGTAATGGCGTTGTGTTCCTGATCAAAACCACATTGAAAACTTGGGAGCCTGAAACGGAAAGCAAATGCATTAACCTAACGCTCTGACTGGATCATTTATCTTTGCGACATAGGACGCTCTCGGAACACACCCCGAAGCTTGCTTTTCAGGGGGACTCTCACACAGCATTAATGGCCACACAGCAGTTCGTCATTGCCGAGGACTTTTTCCATCGGAGAAATGCGGGAGCAAGTGATTATTCTAACAAAAAGAGTTGATTTGCACAAGAGTATTTGTTAAAAATCTACAGCATGCATGTCTGTTATTTTCTGTGTTTTCTCTCTTCTCTTTTCAGCATGGAATAAACCTTTTACTTATTCCTTTGCAGACTATACATGCTGACGCAGCTACCCAGCTGAACTGTTATGTTCTGTTCCATTTTGATTTCATTCAAGTTCATTACTTTTATAATCAATATTTTTGTGCAATGAAATACAGTGTTTCAGGTCAGCTGTGGTGCTGGAGAGCCAGTATTGTGTAGGTTTTATAGCTCACCTGCATTTTTCTCAGTCTGAGGCCAGGAGTGGCCAACTGGGTTAATCAGTGCCAGCCAGATGTACTGTACAGGTTTTAATTCCATAAAATCTTTGAATGTCTTAATTGAACACGTTTGCTGCCAAACTGGTCAAAGTAAAACAAAATGCTTCCAGTGAAATTATTTTGTTTTAATTTGCCAATGGAAAGAACGACTGAAGGGTGACTGCTGCAGTATGTCCTGCTGGTCTGTGGCTGTCTGTCCTTTAGTGTGTTACCCTTCCTGTGGTTGATTATGGACCTGCCTTCTGTCTGTGACGCAGGGCCTGTGGCGGTGATCAGCGGGGAGGAAGACTCCGCCAGCCCCCTTCATCATGTCAATCATGGAATCATCACCCCCTGCACACTGGACGCTGGGCCTGATGCCGTAGTCATCGGAATGACCCGCATCCCAGTCATTGAGAACCCACAGTACTTCAGGCATGGGCACAACTGCAACAAGACCGCCACCTGTGAGTACCACGTTTATTGTAGTCTTACGGGCACATTCGTGTTATTTTGCTCTCTTTTATTCAGAAATTAAATTTGTATTTAATCTCCTCAAGTGAACAAGAAATATGTCAGCTTCTATCAATATGAAGTTAATCTGCAAACGAGTGTCTCCTCTGACGTTGTATTTATGCAGTAATCATCAGACATATCATGCAGTTTATATAAAAATAATCTATAGAAGTACTGTAGGTTGAAGGGGCCTGATTGCGCTATCACTTAAACTCCTTGTTTCTTTAGACTCAATTATTAAGTGTTTATTTTTGTTCGTCTGGAACCGACCTGAGGGAAAAGCTTTCTCTTGCTGAAGGCTGGCATCAGACTCAGTTTCTTCTGCTGAACTAGCGCTTCAGGGTAGTTCTTCCTTCTTAGGGGCTGTATTTGCTCAGTGCTTCAGAAATGTGTTGCGTGCTCTTTTACAACCAGCTGCTGATGAGAGTGTTTTGGTTTTATATCCATCTTAGGCTTTCAGTTAAACTAAACAATTTAACTTTTTTTTTGTCAGGGTCAAGGCCAAAGATATAACAGAAATATATATATATATATTAATAATAATATATTTAATAATATATAAATGTATAGATATATAGAATATAGTGTACAGTGTATACAGTGTATATTCATGGTTCAAGTAGGGAGCTGCATCAGCTGTGTAGGCTGCAAAGGAACAAGTAAAGGTTTATTCCATGCTGAAAAGAGAAGAAAAGAAACTATTTAGTCTGTGTAGCCTTCTTCGGGTATGTGTATGTTCATATACTATATATAGAGTAAGTACTGCATGAACAAAAATATTGGATTCAAGATTCAGTGTCTGATAAGCTTCTTCAGGTCTTGATAAAGCATTAAATTGTTAATCAGCCAATTAACCTATTAAATAACTAAAGGGTGGATTGGAATCTGGCATCAAATTAATTTCATTCTTCCGGATTAAATACAAAAGATGCTATATAAATAGAAAAGTGATTGTTAGATCAATTTTAACTGATTTATTTATTGATTGTACCATGTTACGGGCCTTTAAATGATAGCATATTTAACTTTTCATTACAATTTTAGCATTTTAATGCCATAAATGTCATTTTGCAGAGTTTGTTGAATTACCTTACATTAGGTTCTGGTGCTGAACTAATTTAACCCATTGTTACATTTTTAGTTGTACAGTTCATTGATTGCCTTTAAGAAATGTAGAAGTACAGTAACTCCTAATGTTAGCATCCCTTGTCAGTTTTTACTTCACACAAACAAAAGAGTGCTAAATTTTAATCTGAAGTTTAATGCCTGAAAATAAATATCCAGTACTGTGCAATGTGTGTCAATTCTCAATATATATTTTTTTATTTTCCAAGTGACCAATTCTAAAGCCATTCATTTAATAAACATCACGTTGACACAAGGAATTCAGGAGTAAGTCAATCACATTGAATTCTTCTGCTGGAATTGCCATCCATTTTGCCTGCTCCATTCTATTTAGTTGTAAATAATTTGCAGACTCTAAGAATCATATTGCAAATATTTGATGGCAATTGGATGCTGGTACCAACTTCTCTACATTGAACTCTGATGTACAGGGTGATGTACACCCTCTGACTATGGTATGCTTGTACTTGGGATTTTTGGCTCTAAGGATGAAGTGAGTGATTCTAGCCTTATGCATTGACTTTTTTAGACTCTCAGATCTCTAGTTTCGAGTTCTTTTTATTGAATTTGCCAAGCTCTCAAAATCAAGAGTTATATATTGATTCTGCACACTCCTTGATGTTACTGCACTGACTTCCAAGTACAGAATTTTTCTAGGTCTCTGATCCCTATGGAGATCTTCGTTTTGAATAGACACGGACTGCCCTTGTAAAAGGAAATAAAATGAATAGAATGCATTCTGATGATTCGAGGCTGTCAGCAATGAAACTGCATTGCCCACCAGTCATGTGATCATTTCTGACAGGGGATTTTTCTCTTGTGTTCTTGAGTGGTAGTACAGTAGGTGTTGGCATACACACGCTGTAATCAGACGAACACAGAACTGGGGATACAGTCACAGGTGCATAGAGAGTGAGAAAAACTGTCTCGCAACAGAAAATTAAAAGTATTGATCTGGTTAGTACTCACTGAGTTTTCAGGAAGTAGGTCTTGGTTATCGTATTTATTCTTTAAATTATTTTGTAAAGTTTTCCGTGGTTGAGTGAAAGAGAGACATACAGTACTGTAGCTTCATGGCAGGTTCTCTTTTTAGAATCTGACTTCCTGTGTGGTATAAACTTATCAGGTGGCAACAACCATGCTTGTTAGACCCGGTCTGATCTCCTGGAAGTAGACTATATACAGTATGTACAGTATACTTTTTCCATCTGTGCATCTCTACATCAGTCATTTAGCCACTCTAGGATTTCTAGATTTCTAGACACATTTTTTGAGATTGGATAAAGCAGGGATCAGTTTAAAGAGCTTAATTGTGCGCACATTGCCATGAAGATTCTACAACAAAAGAGAATGATGAAGCCAAAGGCAGAAGGCATCGATTTCCTTTGTACCATTAAAGCAATACACCATCAAATAAACCTTTTGGCTGTAAGAGTATGAGAATTTATCAGGTAACCTAGGTGATTTGTCATACAGCATAGTCCGCTTTCTGTATAAAAAACAGTGTATAGTGAAGTACTGTAAATGCTGCCCCTAAAAAGAAAATGGTTTTCTTTTTTTACCGCTGCAACTCACACATAGTTGCCCCATTGTTGAGTACAGTATCTCCTCTGTCACATCTGCATCTTTGCTGCAATGTGTGGGACACCGGCTGTCAAACGGCCCCTGGGCAGCTGGCCGCCCAAACCTGTTTCAATAGGCACATACAGGAAAGCCTGCATGCCGATAGAGCTACTGTCCTGAAAGAGGGATGCAATGAGCAGAAAGAAATTCACATTTAGCACTAATAAATAAATTACTAGCATTATACATTATGAATTGCATGAATTTTTAATGCCAAGCAGTTGATTTATAATCCACACGCCTGTGCTCTGCAGATCTGATCAGGAACTAATAAATAAATGACAGGGGTCGCGTATTAAACTTCTCCTTCATTTTCATGCACCTGGAATTCAAATGAGGTGGAACCAAGAGTTTAATACAGCAATTGTGGAAGGGAGTGCTAGGCTCCCTGAGTCTAATAGGGCAAAACCCAGAGGGAATGGTGTGCTGGCAGGTGCCGTCTCCCCATTGTACCTGCATTAGGGCAGAAGACCTCTGGGAGAAAAACCTCTGACTACTTTCTGATTTGTTATGCAGATTAGGCTGTGCACAGTTGTGCAGAGTTCACCTTTCTGCCAAATCAAGACACTGGCATTGTTGTGCCTCGTGTGACTGTGATTAATGACATCAGAAAGCACGTTTTCTAGCACTTGACTCTTATTCAGTCCAGCATTTACACATTAAGCCTTGCTAATTGCCATGTTGCCTCATCTAATCTGTGATGTCTTATGTTTAGTGGCTACAAGCTGCACATCGTTCTCATGCATTTCAAGTGTACAAGTGAATAAAACAAATTCAAATTTGTTTACCTGTCCTTTATCAATTCAATTCTAAAATATTAAAATCTGTGTTGACTTCTGTGAACAGCCATCTTCAAGAGATACTGTACCAAGACAGGTCAATGTCTGGGAGTTTCCTTGATTAATGTGGAAGATTGTGTGCTCTGCAATGTTGTCTTGAAAACATGTTGCAACGTAGGCTGAAATGAATGAATAATACCAACATTTGATTGTTTGTATTATAAATTGCCTGGATTAACATTTTCACCTGCTCACAGATCGTGAATCTATCTTTTGATCTCTGAGTTCTGCCCCCTGTCTAGTAGTATGATTCAGTTTCTGGGTTTAAACGTGCAGTTGGTGCACTAAAGTTTTGATCGAAACCAGATGTTAGATTCACTCACCACAACAGTCCATGATGAAGGTCAGAGAGACTGGCTGAAACATGTTCTATTTTTTCTGAATTAAAATGTTTTTTCCTCTCAAATTGAACAAGATAACCATAAATTCCTCCAGTTATACCACAACATTTTTTTGACAGTCTTGTTTTTTCATACAGTATTTACATCAGAAAGACTCAAGCTAGGTTCCTAATGATAGAGAGGTCTTGTATTCTCACACTTCCAAACACAATTTAATCAAAAATTAATCATCTCTGAACAATGCATAATCATAATTCAATTATTGACCACAATATCCTGTAATTTTCTTAATTTATTGTGACTACAACAGCAAATTTAGTGTTACACTGCAGGAACAAAGTAATCTGAAGATTTCGATATTCAGCTAACAAAAATTCATGAACCAGTCCATCTCTTTTCCAGCCTGTGACTTGAATTATCCTACAGTACATGATATCATTATGTAGTCTGTGTAATTTAGTAAGGGTTCTATTTTATTCTCATCCTGAACTAATCAACGGGCTGAGAGAAAACAGGAGGCATCTTTACTTATCCATTTTAAAAATGTGTCTCCCTTCAAAGAACATTAAACGATTGATGAGATTTATATATATATTAAAAATAGAGCTGTGAGAGACAGTGAGATTCTACAGTCAATTGGCCATTGTCTTCTGTGAAATTTACTGTGAAATTATGAATTTTGGTTTCAGTTCTGAGCTGAATATTTTAACAAGCTTGATTACTGCCAGGAAGTTTCGGTGGGAGTGATGAATTCCACCCAGCAGTATTAATGGACAATGCAGGTCAGTAAGGAGAATACTTGTTTGGAAATCCCTGCTAAGTGCATTTCAGAAAGGACTTTGAATTAGTTAGGTGCTTGACCTCTTTTTATGTACTATGTAAATTTGTCTGTAGCCTTTCACCACTTCATACGTTATGAGCTACACAGTGCCCGTGTCCAAGAGTTAGAACTGATTGGATATACAATGCATCTCTTTCAACACTTTCCCAGGATTTGGTGTTAGAAATAAACTGCATTGCAAG